AAAATGCCAATCCATTATAATACGGCTCTCCACATTTGAGGAATATGTTCGAAACTTCAAATTCTGAACAATAACCAGTGCTGGGAAGAAGAAAGAAGAAGGTTTAGAAGAAATATTTTGAGAATTCCAGTATTAGAAATTTAAACATTTTAAGGACTTCATAGCAACTCTGGAAAATACTCTTTATTTAAATGATCTCAAACCTACAACTGTAATGTTAATTTTATTTGTTTCTGTTTATGTGTGATTTTCTATTGTTTTCTTTATACATTTGTGTTTTATTTTTGAATTTTAAATAACTACCAATTTTTTAGCTTGAAATATTTATCTTTTGACTGGCTTTCACAGAAAGATCCGTTTCTTCTGTTGTTCGCTACTTCAGAAGTTAAAACATTCATTCTCTTCTTTGTATCTGGGAAATATTACCATTAATGGTAATTTAATATCTTCTGTCTATTTTTTCTTTTTCTTGCCTCCCTACAGAAATCTGTACTTCATGTCACTTCCATCTGACTGAATAAATGTAGCCTTATCCCATGCAACATTCAAAGAATTAAAACAAACATGTTCATTTATTACAATTCTACTAATAGAACTGAAAAAGATCTTAAGTTAGTTAAGTTAAAGGATTGAACTGAAAATTGTTTTTAACCAAAATATATGTTTTCACTAATACCTAAGAAGTCCATTAAATAGAATTGGCTCATTTACTAATTTTGATAGTTCTCAACTTCTTCCAGTTAATATTGGTCCATTAATATTTGTTTTTCCTTATTGAACATTTAACTTTCATTAGAAATAATAATTTGTGTGATTTTATACACTAAAGTTCTAATAGTGTAAAAACATCAGGGAAAGTTTATTTTCCTATCTACTATGGATTCTACTTGAAGTATGTACTTGTTTGGGAGAATTTTTGGCAGAATTTCCATTTCTATAGCTTTTGACATTTAATTAAACCTTTTCAATTTCAAAAATGAGAAAATTGAGTACAGTTCAACCAGACAAATACTTTTATATACTATCCATTAGGTGCAAGTCATTTGCAAATTGTATGTTTATATTGCTTTTTAATTTTATCCCAACATTATAATCTTTACATTGGAAAGGTTTTATATATATACACATATATATTCATAGATGTATAAATACATACACCCACATATATATATATATATATATATACACACACACATACACACACATATGCATATAAGTAAACAAATCCATAAGTTACGTATTGTATTATATAAGTTAATTTGAAGCAGATGATTTTACCATTGTGTACTTATGTGCCACTCTCAGGAGCTCTGTGCAGCCACGGGCATCTCCAAATGACAGAATCCCTAAGCAGTTTGAAGGATGGAGCTGCTTTATAAGAAAATTGGAGCAGACTTCAATGACTTGAGTCAGCTGCAGAAGACAAGCTGCATCCAGCAAATTTTCAGTAGTATCTTCTGTCAATCGCAGAACACCTAGATGTTTTGAAAAAATAATGATTTTATGTCTCATGAAATAAGGCACAAATATGCTAACTGGAAAATTTTCAATTCTCACATTAGCAGGGCTGCCTTTTCTAAGGTACAACAACCACTCAGGAAATATTTTTTTAGGGAATCTGTATAAACACATTAACAAGATGGACGAAGGGAGCCAGTCTAGATGATCAAAAACAACTGTAGCAAATGAACAGTGAATACTATCATTACAAAGAGAAAATTGTTATTTCTTTACCATCTTAAACCTGCATCTACACCTTATTTAAAAGCATGTCTATATCATGACTCAAGGAGCATTATATCATTATATAAGGATCATACAATTGGCCAAAGAGGTAGCTGTCATTTGTGTGGAAAAACATCTTGGCAAATAAGAGCATTGAGGTTATACATCTGTTTTTTAAAGCCTCTATTTACTAGCTGATAAGGATGACTTTTCCTAAATATTTTGCCAGTAATTGACACTTGGACTCTCTCAAAAGAAAGAAAACACTGCTCAGAGTCTACAGATAAACAACTGCTTATATGGTTACTTTTGTAGGTATAAAAAGCAGGCTCTGTTTGATAATATATGTAAAGGCTATCTGTAAAGGATTTTAAAAAATGAGATCAGAGCTACTTAAGCTATTTCCTGTGTAGTGATAGGCTGCAATAAACACATATTTACTTATATAATAAATAGCTATTTAAGGTATTTCCTGCGTACTGATATGCTGTATTATTTTTGGAACAACCACTATTGATGAATTATTGAAAATGATATGTTTTTTGATAAGTTATATTCCTATTCATTTTGGCCAAGCAATATAGGTAAGTTACAAAGTACGATATTTCAAATGGATTATATCAATTATAAACTCTTCCTTTGTAAGTTTGCCTTTTAAAATACCTTCACATAGATACTGTATGGTTGCATAACCATAAAGAAAAGAGTAATACATACTGATAGATTATCTATATTTGGTTTAACCTCTAAAATATGTTGTAAACAAATCCGGTCCATCAACACCCCTTTCAGTGTCATTCTTGTCCTGGATTTTGAAAGGAGAGCCCAGCTCATATATCATGAGACCCAGAGAAGTATGAACTATTCTTAGATTCAGATCTAAAGATTCACCTGCTATAGACATTGAAACTTGGCCTGGTTATTAAGAATATTTATTGCTTAATGAATGAA